TCCTGAGTATGAGGTCATTAGAAGTCCAATCTTAATGGCTTTTGAATTTCCTTCCTATGCTTCTGCATGTGCCACTATTCAAAAAGAAGAAACTAGGCACAAGGGTATGGACCTTGCCATTAAAAAAGAGGATCTCAATGACAACATTGAGAAATCATCCTTTCTTATTGAGTCTCCAAAAGCTGAAAATTACCACCATCGATGATAAAGTCGAGAATACTAGTCGTGGTCGACCTAGGTGCACTCATTGCAAGAAGTTGGGACAAACTAAAAAAAGGTATTGGGTTCTCTATGGAAAAGCCCTTGTTAGGGGAAAACCTATTGCTTAAGTTGCTCAAAGTGAGATGCTCATCTCTGTTGATAAGCTAAAAGAGTTCAACAAATTGGGAAGGTGAACATTGCTTCCTCTTCTGAGATACCGCCTATTACTCAAGGTAATTTTTCTGATTCTCCATCCTTTATAAATTTTCATACTTGGATTGTTGATACTAGAGCTACATGTCATATGACTAGCCATTGTGAAGGACTCAAAGAGTTTGAACACACGTCTTCAAGGAGTCCTGTGTTATTGGCCAATGGGACTATGGTACCAGTTTGTGAAGTAGGAGATATTAACTTTTTTTTTTTAAAGATAAGCCATCTGAAGTTTTATATATTCCCTCTTTCCCTTCGAAACGTTTATTAGCTAGTCAAATCACAAAAGCCTATAATTGCTAAGCAATTTTTTCTGCTGACAATGTTATTTTTTAGGATATGGTTTCTAGGAAGAAGATTGGTGAGAGTAACCAATCACTTGGGTTGTACCTATTAGATCAAACCTCAAAATATTTTTGCCGTTGCAAACCGCGGAGAGTACATGGCATTGCTGATTGGGACATCCATCTGATAGAATTCTGAAGTAGATGGTCTCTAGTATTGATGCATTATTTGCATCTTTTAAGGTCTATCGGTATGCTAAATATACTCGATTTCCATTTTAAAATTTTGATTAAATTTGTAAAAATAACTTTGATATCATTCATTCAGGCTTATGGGGACCTGCTCTAGTGGATTCTTTATCTGTTTTAGTTATGTGATTTTTTTTATTGATGATAAAGCTTGTTATGTCTAGATTTTTATATTGAAGTTTAGGAGTGATGTCTGCATTGCCTTTAAGGAATTCCATAGCATGATTAAAAATCAATTTGATACTAAGGTGAAAGTTTTCAGATGCCAAGGTGAAAATTTTCAAAATTGATAATGGCACAAAATATACAAATAAAACTTTTTCTTCATATTTAATGGATCATGGGATCATTCATCAGATGTCATGTGTAGAAACTCGTTAGCAAAAGGGAATTGCTAAGAGGAAAAACATGTATCTTCTTGAAGTAACGTTTGCCTCACTCTTTCAAATGAATGTTCCTAAATAATACTGCTATGAGGGTATTCTTACTGCTTATCATCTTATAAATCGATTGCCCACTAGAATATTGGACAATAGAAGCCCCTATGAAATGTCGCATAGTTGCCTCCCTACTGTTCATCATTTAAAGATATTTGGTTGTGAATGCTTTGTGCATTTATCATAAAATAATAGAGACAAACTTTCTAAATGATCCACTAAATATATATGCCTGGGAATATTAACATACCAAAAAGGGTTACAAATGTTATGGCTAAAAAACCAGGCGATTGTATGTTTCAAGAAATGTTGAATTCAATGAACAAATTCCTTATTTTTGAACTGATAAGCCTCAGGGGGGATTAACAAGACAACCTTTACTCAAGATATCTAAAAAATGGATCGTTTTAATTCAGAGTAAAAATCATTAAGAGTATTATGCCTGATCCAGAAATACCTCAAGAATCCATTCTTGAAACACCACATGAATCCAATGAGGACGTTCAATCAAATGAATATCAAGAGGACTTATTTCCTCAAGATTTTTAGCCAAGACGATCTGGTCGTATTAGTCAACCTCCTCCTGATTTAAAAGATTACTATACATATCATGTTCAAGAAGCAATATTGAAAAACAAATGGACTCTAAGAAATTATCTCTTAAATATTGTGCGTTTTTTTTTACTAAATTTCATCAACTAAAGAAGACAACAAAACTCTTGCTTGCAGGCTCAAGAAATCAATCTATGGGCTTAAATAGTCTCCCATGGCATGGTTTGAAAAGTGAAGGCAAGGTCTCGTTGACATAGGGTTTTCTCAGAGTAATGTTGATTCATCCATGTTTATAAAAAGAAGGCAATATGAGAATGTTATTGTCTTGATCTATGCTGATGACATTGTTATAACAATAAGTGATTCAAATGCCATAATAAAATTGAAAGATTAACTTCATATGAAGTTTGATATTAAAGATTTGGGAAAACTCAAATATTTTATTGGAATTGAGGTTGCTTACTCTTACGAAGGAATTTTTATTTCCCAAAAGAAATATGTTTTAGACATTTTGCTCGAAACTGACAAGATAGGGTGTAAACCTGTTGATACTTCAATTGAGAATAATTATAAAGCCAACATAGACTCAGGCAAAGGTTTGGAAGATAATGGGATGTTTAAACGATTGGTTGTTCACTAGACATGACATTGCTTATGTGGTCAGTATGATAAGTCAATTCATGCATTCTCCAGAGACTGCTCTTCTTGAAGCTGCCAATCTAATTTTAAGGTACCTTAAGTCATTTTCTGGAAAAAGAATTTTAATGAAAAAGGATGGGCATACTGATGTTATTACCTTTTTTGATACTGATCGGGTAAAAAGTCCTACAGATAGGAGGTTCACCACATGGTATTATACATTTGTAAGAGCAAATTTATAACTTGAAAAAGTAAGAAACAGTCGGTAGTTGCTCGATCTAGTGCGAGGTTGAATATAAAGCCACAAAAAAAGCCACAAAAACTACAACTTGCAAATTAATTTGGTTAAAATTTCTTCTCAGAGATTTGAGTTTCAACATTTTGCGTCAAATGGTTATGAACTGCGACAACCAATCTGAGATATATATATATATATATATATATATATATATATATCGCATTAAATCCATATTTCAAGAACGGACTAAGCACATAGAAACAAATTGTCATTTTATGAGAAAAAAAGTTCAACCCAAGGAAATTACTACTCTATTTGTTAGAAGCAAAAATCAATTTGTTGATATCCTTACAAAGGCCATAAGCAAAGTATTGTTTCAAGAAACATTAAGCAAGTTGGACATGATAGATATCAACGCATCAACTTGAGGGAGAGTGTTGAAATATAACCGTGTACATCTAGCTACTCAAATATGGTACACAGATGATATTGTTACTTAAATCCCATATTTTGGATAACAAAATGTGAAGAATATCTTGGTGATATATTTTGGAGATATTTGGGGGAATAGTTTCTATATGGTTGTTCTTTTGTATCTTTTATTTAGTATTGGATGAATGATATAATGGGCGTACTAAATAGCACTTCAATTGTGGATGTAGGTAAAAGAGACCGAACCACGTAAAACTGTGTTTTCGTCTTCTTCTCTTCTTAATTTCTTCTACAAAACAAATACGTATGGAAGAGATGCGCTAAGAAATGGCAGATGGAAGACCCACTTCTCTTGTTCCCACAGAGAGAGAGAGAGACCGACTTCTCTTGTTCCCAGAAGTCCCGGCCCTTGCCCTAGCCCCGGCCCCGGCCCCGGCCTGAACTATTAGCATGCCCTATCCACAACAGAGCTACATTTCTAGCATCTTTTCTTGAGAAAAGTTCTCAAAGGCAGACTCATTATTCAAGGATGGCATTTGAAAACCCTCTTTTGTACATTTTGAGAGAATCCATTCTTTTGTATAATCAAAATCATACTTGCACTCATTTTTCAAAATCAGTGAAAAAAATCTCACAGTTGACACTAAAAAAGGGCTTCTTTTTTGGGTGTGGTTTCCATAAGGTTAACTTTAAACAATCCTACTAAGGTGCATCTTCAAATTTTATCATAATATATAATTTTGATGTAAAACGTTTTTAGGATTATCTCAAAATCTATTTTTATATCTAATTATAAAATTTTAAATTTCAAAAATGGTTAAAATCAAATAGATCTATAAACATATAAAAATCTTGAAAATGGACAATTTAGATAATATGTTGTAAGATGCACTATTTCTGAGACTCAAATCTTTTTATTTTTCATAGTCATAAATCTTGATGATCAATTACAAGGTTTTTAACATTAAAATAACCTTTTCCGATGGATTTTTGAGGTGCATCCGTAGTTCTACACGTTAAGGTTGCAACCTCATATAAACTTTTTCCTTTCTTTTTTATTCATCGAACAATGCGGGCACTTATTTCCCCAAGATAGACTAGTGTGTGCAATGTGTTGCAAATATAAACATGAAGTTCTACTTAGTAAAAAGTTAAAACCTAGGTGATTAGGGTTTTTCATTCTCTCTCTCTCTTTTGGGTGGTTCAGCAAGGACTCGCAATGGGATGGGTTGCTAGCCAGGCCTTAATTGATTCGGACTGGGGCCAAAAAATATGGCCGGGTCAGAGGCTTGCACTAGGGGCAACCCGGTTCACCCTGGTCTTTTTTTTCGTTATATATATATATATATATATATTCCATTTGGCTAGACCAAACATGGCCCAACCCTAATAAGGCTAGGACCTTTTTGGTCTTGTCAGACCCTAGCTAGGCCTGGGCTAGGTTAACTGGACACGGGCGGCCTACGTTCAAGCTCTGCTTGTTGCCGGCCCTAAGTTAGGCAAGGAAAGAGTCCCCTAGTCAAAGTAAGACCTACCCAAGATTTCCCATAGTAGTGGCCCGCCATCCGGACAACCCATGTCTTAGGACCCATAGCTAGCCTTTTTCTCTTTCTAGTCATACTAAAGTGATTAACTTTGACTCCCACCTTGTCTCCACCCCTAATAGCTAGAAATAATCTTTCAGCTATCATGCAATGGTGGTCCACTTGCATATATCATCAAACCCTTTCTATAAAGAACCGCAGCTTCCACTCGTTATCAAATGTAACCAATCCCCTGTACTAATACCCACAAAATTCAACACAAGCAGCCAAAGAGGTAAATAAACAAATCACAACAATTGCCCCCTTGTTTACCCTATACATAGAGAGAGAGAGGTGAGAGAAGAGAGGTTACGTGGCCTCACCTTGTGAACTAGGAGGAAATGCTTTAAAAAACCACTAACGACGTAGAAAATAAAAAATGGGTAGGACTCGTCATCGCCATTAAATTACCCAAGAAAAAAAAAAAAAAAAAAAAAAAAGAAAAAAAAGAGGGGGTTACTTTGCCTTCCTTGACTTGGACTTTTTCTCTTTCATAAGGTTTCTCTTAGAATCCATTGTGGTCCATTGATAGTGAGCAGGGATAGCAAAAGGGTCCTCCTCCTCGGGTCCATGACTCCATGAATGTTTGCTGTTGCTGGTCCCATGGTCTTTAGCCCCCCATTTCACCCACTGGCTTCGTGGTCCCCAGGCCTCTTTCTTTTCCTCTTCCTCTTCCTCAATGCATTGCAATAACCGAGGGCTCGATAACGGTGTAAAGTAACGGTCTGAACCCTGCAGATCTTCAAACTTAGTGAAGGTGACCACCACCCTCACAGTTGGTACAACAGGAATGGCAACCTGCAACAACAATTGAATCCACATTTAAAACTCACCCAAATAACAAGAAAACAAGAATGGCCGTTAGAAGGGGAAGGAGTTAAAGCACAGGGGGGCCCAACTTAAACCAAACTAGATGGTGTGAAATAATTTTAGAAAAAATAACTCTGAAATTTTATTTTTCTAATATTCATGATCCCATGTTTGAGATTATGGATCCTTACAAATTTGAACCCACATTCAACATGAATTTTGGAGGGGTGAGGGGTGAGGCACATAATAGGTGAGTCAACCGAGTCACCAAAAGTGGGTCCTATAAGAAATCAATGTAAGCAAAAACCCGGTTTCGTCCCAGGACTCGGCCGAGTTACTCGTCCACGGCGAGTTGTTGCGAGTTCTAGTGACCCAACTCGCCAATGTTGAAACATTGCAAAAGTAATAACTCATGAGGCGAGGAAATGAGCCCGGGCTCGATTGGTTAGCTTGATGATTTGAAACGCTAATTCTCAAGTTCGATTCCTACCAAGGGTAAAAACCCTTCTCTCGCAAAAAAAAATAAATAAATAAAATAAAATAACTCAGGAGGCAAGTGTACTGACTCTCCCGAACAACACTCTGGCTCGAGCCGGGGCCAAGTCCGATGCCCGAGCCAAATTTAAAAACAGTGGTAAAAACTTGTGTTCAGTAAATGAGCAGCCTAGAGGGATATTAAAACAGGAAATGGTAGAAAAATGCTTATGTATTTTAAATATCTCTGCACTTTCACAAGTAGAGATTTTCTGCAGGTCTGCATTAAAGAGTGTGTCAGGAAACTAAAATAGAAAGATTTGCACGCCTAAGTTAAAACTGCTAATGTTGGGTAGGTACTTGGAAGTTACTGCACAATCTGAACATTAAGAAACTAAACCGAGACTAAATCCAGTATTAGGAAAAAAGAAAAAAAACACAGATTCTAATAATCAAAAGAAGTGTTTTGTCAAAGGGAAAAGTTTATATAGAGCCGTGGCTCAAAACAATCAAATTCGAGCCTACCTCAAAAATTTCACAAGAAGAGATTCTCTTGATGCCTAAATATCCTCAAATTCATCATCTTGACATCAAGTTACGAGGACATACAGTCAATTTTCAAGATTTTCATAGATATCTTAATCTACACTATTTTTTTAAGCTTTAAACTTTATAAATAAAGATGAAAATGTATTTAAAGGCTATCAAAAAGATTTCCAGTATTGATACCATATATTTCTTGAAACTATTTGACCTAGGCCCTATACAAACCGCACCCTTTGTCAAAAGACCCAAACTTATAATTAGATTCATGCCCCAAACTCAAAAGTTTGGTTGTTTTAATTTAATTGTTTAGAACCTTGGCTCTCTACAAACCTGTACAAACCGCAGCCACATAGTAATTCATTATTATGTTTGTGGTTTACCGGATGTCGTGGTTTCAGAGCATTATTCCAACTATTTGGAATTCATTATTATGTTTGTGGTTTACCGGATGTCGTGGTTTCATAGCATTATTCCAACTATTTGGGACCGCTACGGGAACTTGTATTTAAACTAACCGTAAGTCGAAACCTTATTTCAACTATTTGGTGCCGCTTCATGAACTTGTATTCCAACGAGTCGGGACGATTGCAGGGATCTTGTTCCTCTGTCATACTCTAGATCTATCTAAAGCCGTACCATCGACAAAAAGACAAGTAATTAATTAATAAAAAGACAGGCTTACCTTGACAGGAAATGTAGCAGGAGGAAGCTTAGTTGTAAGCAACTCCCTGAGGCGCCTAACTGCCTTGACCTTGTTAGCTAAGATGTCCAAGAGAGGCAACAACTCCTCTGTCTTCAGTGGAAACTGATCAGTGAGCCAAACCAGAGGCCTCAACCCCTTCTTGTACTCACTCTCCCTCATCTCCCCCTTCTTCTCCATGCTCTTCCTGCTCACGCCTGAAAAAGACATCCTGCCCTCCCCTTCCTCCTTCAAACCCTTCCTCCTCATGTGAGCAACCCATTCCTTGTCTTCCCTGCTAAAGTGCCCCACCTCAAAGCTACTGTTACGCCGAGACGACGACGAAGAAACCCATTCTTTGTCTTCCCTGCTAAACATCGCCACCTCGAAGCTGCTGTTTCGACGAGAGGATGGGAGGGAGTGTAGGTCTGCCTTTTCGAAGCTGCTGTTACGGCGAGAAGATGGGAGTGAGTGTAGGTCTGCCTTTTCGAAGCTGCTCCGTCTTTGAGCCCCGGAAAGGCAGGGGTTCTCGGCCACCAGGAAACCGTCTTCATCCTCATCGAGCTCCAGAGAATCTAGCAAAGGATCCACATCTTCATCGACCTTCCTGGTTTTGATACTGAAGAGGACATTATGGACCTCATACACTCTGGACCTCCACTCCCCAACCATTTCAATCTTCTCTTGCCGCCGCCAATTGAGCCTTCCGACGAGCTCTGCTGCCGTCACATCCATCCCCGGCCGGAACACACTGCTCGGAGGCCGGAATGGGCCCTCATCATTTGGGAGTGGCGCCCCTGCATTCTCAAATGTGTCGATGATGTCCTCGTCGTCATGAGACAGCACCAGAAGTGAGCCTTCAGGGAGGTTGTAGGCTGAAGGAGAGTCGCCAAGGAAGAGGAAAGTCTGCGGGGAGCGTTGAAAGCGTAGGCCGTCGAATCCGGTGAGAGAGAGGTCGGCACGGAGGTCCGCCCCACGCTTCCACAGCCTGTAGGTGTCCGAGGGGGCAAGACGCGCAACAAAGGGCACCAGCGAGCTCTCGAAGCGGAACGAAATCTCCATATAGAAGTCGCGCATTCGGCGGAGGGTGGCGATCAAGCGTGGCAGGCGGCGGCACCACTTGGACCAGGCGGCCACAGGAAGGTGACGCTGGATAAGGGCCGCGATGGGGCGGTGGCAGCAGACAGCATCGTGGAGGGCGCTCCATCCGGCAGCATTGTGGAGACAGGGATCCGCTCCGGCGTTCAGGAGCATGCGCACCGAGACAGGGTCCGCCAGGCGAACAGCAAGGTGAAGAGGCGTGTCGCGAGAGGGGATGCCGTCGCGGCGGTCTACGACGGCGGAGATGCTGTCGGCAACGCGCTCCTCCGCCAGGGAATCATCCTCGGTGCGGATCGCGGCCGGTTCGCGGAGGCGGGGGAGGCGGGAGATGAGACGGGAGAGGCGAGAGTGGTCTCCAAGGGCCACTGCGTAGTGCGCAGGGCTGTGGGCATAGTCATCAGGGCGGAGCATCATCTTGCTTCTCCTCTCTCTCTCTAACAAAGGCAGGCTTATTTAGAGAGAGAAAGTAAGGGGGTGAATTGAGGAGCGCGAGATTCTTAGAGGAGAGAAGAAGGCAGAAGATGTGCTTTTTGCCGTGTTACGAGGATTCGAGATCACAATGTTTCTTTATTCGGCCCTAATCAAAAGATACCAAGGCCCACAAAGGGCAAACTCCCCCTTTTCAAATCCAGAAAAAAAATAAAAATAAAATGTATTTTTGGTTTTACGTTTCGAAATCTATTTCTAGTGTTGATCATGAAATCTGAAGGTTTTAAATCAGCCACATTTCCTTCCGAGCTTTTTTCGATCTTCTGCCCATTCAGAGGGGCACTTCAGAATTTAATATAAAATATATATTAAATAATAAAAATTTTAAAAATAAAAAATTTACAAATAAAAAAAAAAGAGGAAGACAATTATGTGCTGCGGCCCAAAGGGTAGAAGCACGCGAAGGATGTACTGGAGTTCGCTTCGGTCTACGCCGAAATGAAATCTAAAAGCCTTGGTCTCTTTGGTAGAAGTGAAGTAAATAGGATAACATTGCTTAAAATCTTTTACTATTTTCAAATCTATAAAGTATTTTTCTTTTTTGCAAGTATATTGTCGCCAAAGGAATTGATGTCAACATGGAGTGGAATGGGGTTTTTGCCCTTTGTTAACTTTAAAATCCTTTGTATTTAGCAGTGTTTTAAAATTCGGATCAGCGTCGTTGGTCTCTTCCCCACAACTTCGTGTCATCAGGTTTGAATTGATTCAAAATTGGTATTCCATAAAAATTAAAAATAAATAAATTAAACATAAAAATAAAAATAGGGACTTATAAAATGAGGATTTAAGGGGACCAAAAAAAAAATATTAAATAAACTTAGAAGAAGGCAAAAAATATGCACATGAGAGGAGACAGGGGAAGGGGGGGACGGAGTTAGGGAAACCATGCTAGAATATCCATTCCATTCTTGATCAAAATCAGCAATCCTCATATAGATTATCTCTTTTTTTGGTTTTTTTTTCCTATGAACTTTGAGTAAATTTTATTGAGATAATGAAGAGGACAATAACAATAAAAGAAGAGGAAAAAAGAGAGAAAAAACAGGGTGGAGAGACGAATAAGAAAATGAGGAGAAAAGGCCGGAAGGGATCTACAAATGCTACAGTCCCCAGGAGTCCTTCATGGGCAGTGGCATCTTTAGCAAGCAAATGCATATCTTCATTTATATATATATATATATATATATATATATATATATATATATATTAAGGT